TACTAACATATATGACTAATCATACAGACAGTATCACAGGTAGTGCTACCGATCTACCAAACTAGTATATCAAAACTAGCATGCATATCTATTCTATACTCAACATATCAATGAATATCATGTTATCAAACCAATGGGCCGGCCTTGGTGCCTTCGACCTGTAAGTACAACGAGGAAAACTCACCTCGCAAAATGAACAGAAATGATGAGGTCCGACTCCGAATCTCATCTCTCTAACTGATACCTATTTCCACCAAGTGCCCATATTCCATCAAAATCCCAAAATACCCAAAATACTCTCAAGGTCAAACTTTGCCAAGCTTGGTCAAAGTCAATTGGTCAAACCCACTAAGTCAACTGAGTCAACCCAACCGAGTCAACTCAACAAGGCTGACCCATGCGAGTACACGGAGCGTACTCTGAAGGTACGCTTATCGTACATGAAGCCTCACAGAAGACCGCCATCGAGGTAATTGACCGAGTACGTGGGGTGTACTCCCATGTACACGGGGCATACCCTCGCAACCTCTAAACTCCATTTAGTGCTTAATGGCTTAAGCACTTAAGCCAATATTTCAGATCTACAGTCCAAATGCACCCTAGAATCATAAAGTTTCCAACTTTATGAATTTACAAGTCCACAAAGTGCTTAACATAAGGTCTTAATCCATTAAGATCTTTTACAACATGCATGAAGCAATTCTAGCAATTGGGACCTCATTTTTATGGCTTAGGACCCTTCCTAGGGTCTGAAAGGACAGTTCAAAATGACAGGAACAAAACCATGCATAAAATGGGACCTCTAGGGCAAGAAAAGCAACATAAAACACCCAAAAACGGGATCTAACAACCAAGACGTCAAGGTATGGACTTTATGCCTTCTGTAGCTTCTCACAAAGGCAAAGATCCCATATCCACAAGCTTGCTTCCACTTCAAGGCTCCTCAATGCAACCTCTTCCTCCTTCAACACACCAAGAATACACTCTTGAGCTCAAAACACACACTAAGAGGGTTAGGGTTTGCAAAAACGTCTCAAAGGATGTGGAGGCTAAAAAGGTGAGGGAAGGTGAGACATAATGTTGCTTAAATACCATTCAAACCCTAAAAATTAGGGTTTTCCTCTTGAATCTAGTACGCCCCGCGTATATAAGTGTACGCCCTAGTACGCTCAGCGTACACACATGTACGCATGGCGTACTCCTCCTGCCATATTTATGAAATTCCACTAGGGCTTCAAAGCATAACTTCTTGGACTTAGGGACCAAAATGACATGAAATAGAATTATATGGATGAATTTAGAAGTACCTGAACATCGGTATGTTACACATGCTTTGGTAGACATCCACGATTCTAAACTCACTCTACGAGTTGGAGATGAAGAAATAACTTTTGGAGTCGAGGAGAAATTCATCAACTTAGAAGCCAATAATGATATTTTCTTTATGGAGGAAGTGGGTTTAGGGATGAAAAATAAGGATGAAGTGGGTCAAGATAAACGAAAAAGAAGATGAGCTTGTCGAGTTAGAGAATATGATGGAAGAAGAGTTACTAAATTTGGAAAAGCCTTTACACGAAGGAGACAGTTTATACTAATTTGATAAAAAAAATTATATAATAATTTAAACTAATTTGATACAAAATTATATATTAAGTTAAACTGTATGATAATATAAAACTAGTTAAAACTAAAATTTTTAGTGTTAGTTTTTAGTACTCATATTTAAATTGTATTATTAGTTAAAGAGAATGTTTGGACTTTTTACCCATAAATAAATATATATGGTGAATAAAGTCATTGTCGTTATAAAAACATTAAATATATAATTGACGGGTACCTAATTGTATCGATTCCAAAATAATTATGTTATATAAGGCTTACCATCGAGCTATATACAATGAACCATTAAACTCAATTTGAATTTTAGTTGATATTTGAAAATTGTCTTGCCTCGAGTATTTTAGTTGAACCAAATTGGTAACTTTTATACTTATTTAACTTTTATTACAAATGATAACATAACTTTTATATGTTATATATACATATTTAAATTTCAAACAACATCACCTGTTATTTAAAATGTTAAAAGTCATCGTTTTTATAACTTAAAAGATCGTTTTTTTAATATTCCGTTCTCTACAACGTGTACATATATCCATTTAATATTTATATAAGATGATGAATTTTGATACTAAAAAATGACATCAAAATCATATCATATACAGAATAATTACAACGAGTCTAAAAAAAAGGAATACGTGTGTGTGACTATAAAATGCATTGAAATATACAAAAAGTCTTTTAAAAGTGTCATATGCTTTCTATAAGCTAATATATTTCTTTTGTTTATCGCGTGTAGCTGAAGTAAAATAACTAATTCGTGAGGTCGCGGTCCATTTCTATATGTGTACCTAAAGAATTTTTTACATATTGATAATTATATATGGAAGTTTCTTAGGTAAAAATGAAAAAAGAAATGGTCATTGTAATTGCTTATTAAGAAACGGTCTTTTAGCCATATAATTTTATCATGCACAACACACATAAATTCGCCTAGTGTGTGTTTATATATATATATATATATATATATATCTGGCGGCTTGGTGTAATGCGTGATTGGGCAAAGACCTGGTCACAACAAAAATACAATCCGCCAGCTGGTCTTCGGGAGGGGATCCAAGGAGAATACTCTGACGGTCAAGGTAGCGATTGAGGTGAGTGGTGGCGACGAGAGTATTTTTTACCGAGGCGGAGCTTACTTTTCTGGTGGAAAAAAGAGACCTTTGACACTGAGTATCATTGTTAGTCTGTACGACAGACAAGGGTATCAGACCTGACAAGGATCAGGCACACTAATTGGATGGTCATGCTCTCGGTCTTATTAGAGCTTGTAATTGGTTCAGGCAGTAATGCTTTGAGCATCCCTTTTTTCGATTGGTGATTGCCTTTTTCGTGAGGTGGAAGTGTCCATTGGAGAGTCCTATCATGCGCAGGCTCCCACTGGCGGGATGCCTGCCATTGGCGCGAGTCCTATTGTGCTAATTGATAAAAGGAGTCCCCAATCGTGTCAGTTGTCGCTCGAGACTCCTAATAAATGGCGCAGACATGTCCATTTTCCCACGCCAAGGGGTACGCTATTAATTCCCCCGGTACAACAGGCATAACATTCGTAGCAGACTAACTATGATGTTCTGGAGTAACGTGTCAAATCAGGGTATTTTGGATACTACAATCTCTTTGGTGATGTGACCGCTTTTCATGTTGTCAATTACGCCATCTTGACAGGGTTTTGAATTTCCTACTTTTGTTCCCTTATATTATTTTTCTGATGCCATTTAATTCTTATGTGTTTCAAAATCATTTCCTTTTTCTTTCGCCATTCCTTATTCTTTTCGTCTTTATTCATATGGTTACTCTCTATGGAATCATTCCTACCGTTGCTGAGTTTGAAAACCTCCACCAGTCCTATGCGTTTTCGAAAACCTTCTTTGACTTCGAACTCTGACTTCCTCTTACTGACCTCCAAGATGAACTTATCCATAAGAATGGTTGTAGAATTCAGATGTTCACTCCCAATGTTGTGAACAAAACTGTGGCATTTAAAATGATATGTCGTGCTAACGATGTTCTTCCTGACTTTTCCGTCTTTAGAACCTTTTTTGGTTCAGTGCCAACTGATACAAATAAACTTTCTCCACTGACAGGATTGGTGGTTGTGGGTAAACATACATCGGGTCGGATGTGGGTATCTCCGATATGGTAGCTTTTCTGATATCACTCTGAAGTTGTTCCCTCATCACCAAGTGATTGTTGATCTTTTAAGGGATGTTCAAGTTCCACCATATGAGTAGTCTGAGTGCATCTTGGTTGGCACTGGGATGATCACGACATGGAGAGCGAGAAGGAAGATGCTAATATTCTACACTGTTGTGGACAATATGTTTGTGGAGTTGATCTTCACGAGTCCCTTCCTTCTCCACACAGGATTGACCATCTTTTTGTTCCTCCTGAACAACCAGACCTTCCTATGGATGATTGTACTATGTTCAAGATCGATCCGCAGGCAATGCATCGTCCCATTTCGTTGGTCGTTCCCCTTCCATATTAATTTCTTTTTCCCCTGAGATGGTGGAAGATAGCAAAGAGGGTATTATTTTTGAGGTGTAAAAAGCTATAGCAAAGCCGAAGGCCATCCTCAGTGTTGCATACATTTCCTCTGATGTTATAGACGTGAACGTATGGAGGCGCATGTAGAAAAGGAGAGGTCTTGCTTGACTGTTGGGTTCCACCTCTGCTAGAGGAGGTAAGGTTGTAGTGATTATTGTTGATGACGTTAAACAATCGGAGGGAAATCAAGGGGCACTGAAACAGCCCACTTCAATTGTTCTCATCATTTCTGGTATGATCCCTAGGGACACTTTCTCTTATCTGGAGCTTACATCTACTCCTTCTACTGAAGGCGGATCTGAAGGTGATAATCATAATCCCTCTTTTGGGGACGGTCTTCCGGAGCACAAGTAGCCCACCATCGCTTCTTGTGTTCCAGATTTGAATCTGGTGAACGGTTCTTGCCTCTCCGTTTTTATGGCTACTCAGGAGTTTACGTGTCGTACATTTCCTCCGGTGACCATAGCGAACATGGAAAGCATGGTTAGCCCTACTTTGGTCCACAACATGAACTATGCTGTTGCTCAATGTATTTTTATCTAGCAGCCGGTGCTTTCCATGTTCAGTATTCGAATGATATTGAACAACGGTGTACGACATTGGTGGCTAGTGAGAATAAATTGAGGCTTCAGGTTTCAATTATTAAGAAGAGGGCCCGTGAGTTTAACCAAAAGTACAAGTTGCTTATAGTGGAGAAAATATCCATGGAGGAGGTTATGGAGACACTGGAAAGTAAAGTGGAGACCCTTACCTAATACAAGGAAGTCTTAGTGATATAGAATGAAAGTTTTGATAGGGATATCAGTGATCGGGACAAGCTTTGTAGTGAGACCATGGCTGAGTTGGGTCGGGTGACGGATGACATGCAGTGGTTGTTCCACATGGGTGTTGTTTATATTATAGATAAGCTGATTGTATACACTAAGTCTGCCATGGTCATTCGCCGGATCCGCTATATATTTTTTGTTGCTGGGAGGAGTCCGCTTGTGCAGGTCTAAAAGTTGAGGTTGTCATTAGGAAATACTATCTCCATGCAAGTGATTCACGTTCGAACCATACTGCCTATATAGACCAGTCCATTGTTGCCTTCACGACTCTGGACTATACTTTTATGCTTGGTCTTGGTCGCCTTGACATTGCGGAGTTGAGGCAGCTATGTACCTTAGACGAGGAAGATATGGCGGATGCACCTGTTAGTGGTGGTATTGGTGGTAGTCTTGGTGATGGAGGAGCTGGTGGTGGTCCTGCTAATGGTGGAGCTGGTTGTAGTCTTGTTCCTGATGTTGGAGGAGGACAAAAGGGCCATGATAGTGTTGGACCCAATGGTGTTCAAGCGGGCTGATACTTGATGTTCCAATTATTGTACCTTTCGGGGTGAAGGTTATGTTAATAGTTTCTTTCTCTCGCTTTTTTAATGATCACAATGCATGGATTTATGCTTGTAGATGTCTTTTGGCATGAGTCTGAACAATTTGTTAACCACATCCCCCCCCCCCCCCCCCCCCCCCCCCCCCCTCTTAGTTGGGGTATTTTGTTTTGCCATCAATGTTGAATTTCTTTTGGTTATATTTTGTGTGTTACTTTAGCTTTCTTTCCCCTCTTGACCTTGGTGTTCAGGCGTATAACTTTTCATGCACACGGTCTTAATGATTTTACATATTGTAAGTTTGTCGAGGTTGCATATATTTGTTGTATGGATTTCCTTTTGTTGTTTCCTTACGATTATCGTGTTGGAAAATCTCAAGATAAATTATTTTGAGTTTTGGATTGTTACCTCGAAGCTTTATTGTTTTCGACCTGCTGGCTTGTGCGTGGAAGTTTTATGATAATAATTACAAAGGTCATTAGTGGAAAGTAATTATTAATGATGAAAATGAAGATTTATATTATCTTATAATATTATAATGATGAATGAAGTAATAATTAGTTAGAAAGATGAATAACTAAGTGTAACTAAATGTAAAGGCTCTAACGAAGTATAATATTATTTTAGCATTATTGTGTTAGTTATATGATGTATCTGATGTGATACTATGTGAGTGTTCGAATGAATTTTTATATGATGTTTCGTTTGATCCATGTGGGATATGTATGTTCCGTAACATCGTACTTATGATTGACTCACTTAGCTTATGCTGACACTTGTTTCTTTGCTTCTTGCTTTTGCCTTGCTTTGGTACATGTATCAGGATATGATACACTAGAGAGCATGGGGGCTTTTGGGAAGTTTTATTTAGTATTACTTTAGTGATGATACCATTTGGACATGTCTTTGAGTTTTCATTTGCTTTTGGTTTTAAAAACTTGTTTGGTGTTGGTTTTGTGAACTTAAATTTTAAAGGATGTCGTTTTAGATATTTAAGTGACATTGGTGATGTTTTCAAATAAACTTTTAATAAGAATTTCGTTGCATTATTCTGTTAAAAAGTGTTTTAAATAAAAACAAAAATTTATGTTAAAAATCACGATGTTACAAGTTGGTATCAGATCCATGTTGTGAGTGAACTGAATACATAGGTTGGTGTTCAGACACACAATGTAGGTTGGTCAATTAGGTTGTAACACTCACCTTAATGTGTTAGCATGATTTAGATTCATTGGTGTGATGCTTGTCGTGAGAAAACTCAATTGGACGCTTTTTGAATTTAAAACAAACCACGGGGACTATTTTTTGTTACCTAATTAACCAAAGGGGAATTTTGGTTATTTAACACAAAACAAATAGTGATTGATTGGTAATATTATTCAAAAGAATAAATGGAATCAATGTTTGAGGTAGGACTATTTTGGCAACCCATTTCCAAGAGAGTGGCCTTTTTAGTTAAAAGGAAATGAAGTTTGAGGAAGTATCATCCTCCTCTTCTGTTACGGTTGTATGAAAGGAAATGCAAAAAAAACCATACAAAGGTGGGTTGGTGACTTACGATCGAGGAGGCAGGAGGTGGTGGTTGGAATAACACCACAATAGCACCAAGGCGGTATCGACAGTGTGAGGTTGCGGATGGTGGCAACAGATTTGTCAGCAGCCTCCGCTACTTTTCCTTTGCTTGTCTGTTAGTGAGAACGAAGAGAGAGGGATGAGGGAAGGGGGAGGGGTTGGAGGGATGGAGGAGGGAAGGAGGGGTGATTGGGGTGGGGTTTACCGTTGAAACCGTTGCGGAAAACGGGTGGTGGTAGTTGTAGTTTACAGTGGTAGGGTGGTTCCAGTGGGTTTTCTTAATCGAGAGAGAGAGAGAGAGAGAGAGAGAGAGAGAGAGAGAGAGAGAATGGAGTGGGAGAGAAGATATTTGATATTGCTAAATTTGTATGATGGGAATGGAAGGGATGAGGCTTCCATTTATAACCATGGAAGGCACTCACAACCCATGTAAACCATTCCATTAGAGCTAGTCAAAGACTTCATGCATGCCATGCTTTGTACTATAAATATGGAGTGCACACAAGGAAGAAAGGAAGCGAGTCATGTGGGCAAGGGGGATCCAAGAGGATTATGGCTGATTTTTATCATCCCTTACAAGTACATGTGGGCCCATGGTAAGGTCATGATCTCACAAAGTCCCAATAACAACCCTAGTTTGGTGTATCAAGATCTCGACACTGAATAGTTTTTGAAAGTGTCGAATGATAGAGCCTAGTACAAGGATTCCAAAAACCCAAACAGATTAATTTTTTGATTTGTAGAACTCCGGGAAATCGCGTTTAAAGTTTCACGTCTAATTGACCCAAAACATCCGATTTTTCGACTTTTGTAAATATTTTTGCTAAAAATATTTCGAGTATGGAATTAAATATTAGACCATAGTTTCAATCCAAAAACGCTCTCGGAAATCCTATCTGAGGTGTGCAAGTGACTCAACGAATAGATACTGTTTTAGTAATTTAAAGAAAATCAGTATTTTATTGGTTTGTTTTTTATAATTGTCGTATCTTATGCATACGAACTCCGTTTTGGATGTTATTTATATTTTTGGAAGCAGGGGAACATGTACTGTGAGACTAAAATGTTTGCTTTGCTCTCAAATGCTTAATATGAATTTTCAGTTTTTTAGACGCACTAACTAGGGTTGCAGTTTGTGCTGTGTGATTCATTTGAGATTTTATACAAATGGAATTAAGATATCATCTGGTATGTTATAATAGTTTTAGTGACACTATATATTTTACAAAAGATGCACTAAAACTCAATAGGTCCAATTACAAAGAGAATCACGGTGAATTGACTGTCTACAGTTTTAGACCTAAATTTCGGGATGTCACACTATCTCCCTGTTAAGGGAATTTTGTCCCAAAATCATTAAGTTCTAGGCTATTTTGTTCTAATATTAATTTGTTCCACTAGTGGATGGAGCACCGCTGAACAGTTGTGGATACTTTTGTTTCATCTGATCCTCACGTTCCCAAGAAAACTACGGCCCGTTACGAGATTTCCATCGGACTTTTACTATAGGTATGCGGCTTTGTTTGAGGCTTTTGATTTCTCGATCCATGATCTCCATCAGTTCCTCCACGAAGTGAAGTTTAGTGTTGACCTGGATCTCATCGAGTGAAATGACGAGGTTCTCATCAGAGAGACACTTTTTGAGATTACACACATGGAAGGTATCGTGAACTTTGATGAGTTCTTGAGGTAATTTGAGTATTTAAGCTACCAAACCAACCCTTGCTAGGATTTCAAAAGGCTTGATGTAACGGGGATTTAGTTTACCTCGTTTTCCAAATCTAATGACACATTTCCATTGTGCGGCCTTTAGTAGGAAACAGTCTCCTACTTTGAATTCTAAGGGTTTGCGTCTCACGTCAGCATAACTTTTCTGACAACTACGTACGACCTTTAATTGATCCTTTATCTGAACGATCTTCTCCGTTGTTTCATGAATGATCTCAGGACTGGTAAGTAGGGTATCTCCAACATGCTTTTTAGCTAATTAAGTATCTCCAACTTCTGCCCAACATATCGGAGAAAGACATTAGCGTTCGTATAAGGCCTCGAATGGAACAACCTTTAAACTAGTTTGATAACTATTACTGTTTGAGAACTCAATTAACGGCAAGTGAGTATCCCATGCATTACCAAAGTCTATCACACATGCATGAAGCATGTCTTCCATAGTTTGTATTGTTCATTCACTATGTTCATCCGTTTGAGGATGGTATGCAGTACTCATGTCGAGTTTGGTTCCTAGGGACCTCTACAATGTTTTCCAAAATCTGGAAGTGAATCTACTATCTCAGTCTGAGATAATAGATATTGGCACACCATGTAGTCTAACTATTTCCTTGAGGTAGGTCATGGTGAGTTTCTCCATCTTGTTAGTTTCTTTGATGGTTAGGAAATGGACGGACTTGGTCAGACGGTCAACCACTACCCAAATGGTTATCTATTCCCACTTCCATTCTGGGTGTAACAACCCGTTATTTCAAATCAATGTAATAATTTAGATTAACTTGCAACTAGTTCTTTTTAAAGTAATAAAGAGAAATTTTTGAATACTATGTGCATTTACATAATCGACCATCAAAAATGAAATGTTAAATAAACTTAATTGGGATGAATAAAGTGGTAGAGATTGTAACAAGGATTCCGAAAATATAAAGAACGCCGAAATCCGAGTTATAACGAAGAAGTTATGATCTATCGAAGATTCGCGACAAAACCGGCAAAAAATTGTTTAACGTAAGAAGTGAGTTTTCAATAAAATGCTTTTTAGCCTTAACTATCTAAATTAAAGTTGTAGTATACGTTAAACCGAGAGTGTCCATAAAAAGAACGTCCAAATCTGACTTCGTATGAAGAAGTTATGATTTTTCTAAGATTTGACATAGCAGTACACAGCCCGAAATTCAAAATAAATATCGGATGATTTTTAGCCGACACAACCTAAACGAGAATCGAAGGTCTCGTCAATAGTATTACAACGGTAAAAATACAGATGAAAACGGACGTCGGATGAAGAAGTTATGAATTTTTAACGGATTTTCCTGTCCCGGCCTGTTAAAAATATAATATTAAAAATAAAGTCAAAATTTGCCGACGGAGTCTAAACGAAAGTCGTAGAGTAGAATCTCACCTACGCGGGATATAAAGAACGTCAAAAACGGAGCTGGTATGCGAAAGTTATGAAATTTTGAAGTTTTGGGCACAAAAACCGAGAAATTCCGCATGTGCAAGGTCCGGGTTTGGCCACGTAGCACGTTCGCATGCGAGGCACGTGTCTGACTCGTGTCCGATCTGATGACTCGTCCGAAGCGAAGGTCCACTCCGGTTCCGACGTGTGTCGCGTCCGTGGCGCATCCGAGCTTCTGACGTGTGTCCCCTTCGCATGCGAGCCGACGCGTGGCTTC